GGTGCTGCCCCGGCGCGGGGCAGGCGGGCAGGGCCGCGGGCGGGTGGGTGGGTGGGCGGCCATCACCGCTTGAAGCGGTAGGTGATGGGCAGCAGCAGCTTGTTCTTTTTGAGTGCCTGCACCTTCTTGAGTGTCTCGTCGTCCAGCGCCAGGAAGCAGCGGCGCGAGTACTCAAGCAGGCGCTCCTTGGACGGGTCGAACACCCCCACCTCGGCCAGCTTCTCTGGGGCCACGATGAGCAGCTCGGCGATGGGCGTAGTCAGGGCCACGGTGTTGCGGTCGACGCGGTGGTGCTCGAAGGCCCGCGACATGCTCTTCAGCTTCTGGAAGGTTCCCAGGATCTTCTTGTAACGGCAGAGGACCCCGTCGGCATCCTTCACTGCAGAGCCAGGCAGGCAGACAGGGAGAGGGAGACAATGGAGGACCGGAGAGCTTACCGGAAGACAGACACAAAGAAAAGATGCCACAGGCAAGAAAGAAAAGATCGAGGAGCCCGATTGGGGAGGAGGTAAGAGAACAAAACAAAGCATACAGAGGCAAAAGAGCAGATGAGAGAAATGCAGAAGGTGGGGTGGGTGAAGGAGACAGGCCACACATCAAGAAAATCACAGGCTCGGCTGACCCTTCACCCACGCCACAGCCATTTTTTCTGTTGGTCGTGGGGCTTGAACTCTGGGCCTGGGCACTGTCCCTCAGCTCTTCAGCTCAAGGCTCTACCACTTGAGCCACAGCACCACTTCCGGCTTTTTCTGCTTATGTGGTGCTGAGGAATCAAATCCAGGACTTCATGCGTGCAAAGCGAGCACTGTACCACGGAAACCCATGATGTGATCTTACAGATGCAGAGGAAGGATGGCCTCCCCAAAAGTCACGCCCCAAATCCTGGGACCATCCCCCCCTCCATGCCCACTGCATGCACCCCACTCACCCCGCTGCCTCTCCCGGACCTTGGGCTTTCCAAAGCACCTCCGGCCAGCACTGCCCTTCTGCTTCTGCCTCTTGCGCTCGCTGCCGCTGCCACCCTCTTCAGAGGCCCCGCTGAGCGAGGAGGCTGCAGACTCGGGGTCTGAGGCCTCGCCTCCAACTGCAGCCCGGCTGTCCCCATCAACCCGCCTGGCTCCTGGCTTCACCCGGCCATGGTCCTCTGGGGAAGAGATTCCAAACACAAGGGTGGCCCTTTGTACCCGGAGGCCACTAAAGGATGCCAGCCGGACCCCAGGGGACAGACCGGAAATGTTGCACATACCAGCCACCTACGTGGAGATTGGGGAGGAGAGGGAAAGATGTGTTTTCCCAGGTGCGGACACTTGACTAGGACAAAGCCAAGGATCTGCCACTAGCTTCCAATATGGAGCACATTCCCAGGGCAACAGAAAAGCGGGATTGAATCCCAAGGTACAAAAAGGGCCTTGGCTCGGGAAGTGGGAGGTGTCAGACCCTCGGAGAAAAAAAAGAGGGCTTAGCCTGATGCTGGTGGCTTATGCCTGTCATCCTAGCTGCTCAGGAGTCTGAGATCTGAGGATTTTGGTTCAAAGCCAGCCTGGGCAGGAAAGTTCATGAAAACTGGAGGTGGCACTGTAGCTCATGTGGTAGAGCGCTAATCTTGAGCTGAAGAACTGAGGGACAGCATCCAGGCCCAGAGTTCAAATCCCACGACCAACCAAAAAAAAAGAGAGACAGGGCTTACTCTGGGGCTTGGGAACCCTTAACGATCCTCACAGAGGTGAGGTGCTAGCTGAGACCTAGGTGGTATCCTGCAAAGTAAACTGGAAAAGAGATGGAGACTCCAAAAATGTCCCAAAGCCCTAGGGCCCAGCCATACAGCATGGCAAAAGAGACCAGGTCCAGATTCCTAATGGCAAGAGTCTTCAGCAATGTCAGCCACAAAACACTGCAGGCCTGTCTGCAGACTTTCAAGGTGTTACCAGCTGCAGCTACACCCTGGGGGAGGGGGATTTGAGTACCCCAAAATATAGGTGGTAGGAAGGCCTAGAGGGGGGGGCGGGACACACATGGGAGTAACCAAGGTAGATGAGCAAGCCAGCCAGCCACTGCTTCCAGTCCATCAGAAGTGGCCTTGGGGGCTGGGAAGGTGGCTCAGTGGTAGAGTGCTCACTTAGCATGCATGAGGCCTGGGTTCAATTCCTCAGCACCACATAAGCAGAAAAAGCCAGAAGTGGCGCCGTGGCTCAAATGGTAGAGCACTCATCTTGAGCTGAAGAGCTGAGGAACAGCGCCCAGACCCAAAGTTCAAGCCCCATGACTGGCAGGGAAAAAAAAAAACAAAAGTGGCCTTGGCCTTGAGGTGTGGTTTCCACACCTGGCTGGACCCTTACTGGCCTGGAAATTAGAGCCAAGCAAAGAGGGTAGCGTTTCCTGGAACCCTGAGGCAGGGTTTGGGGTTATGTGTTGGGATATCCACTCAAAGAAGCCCGTGGGGGTGGGGGGTCAGCGGGGAGACTTCTTTGGAGGAAAAGCTGTAAGGAGCAGACACTAGGTGAGTGGGAACACAGGTCCCTCAACCTGTCTTTCACGGCGGGGAAGGAGGCTTCCTTGTGTATTCTAGCAAAGACAAGTTTGGGGTGGAGGTGCGGGGTCTTCCCCACAAGGTGAGGCTGTCTCCCCTAGGACACAGGCAGAGGAGATCTGAAGGGGGCCGCAGGCCGCAGGTGTGCCGGACGTGGGGTCGGCCGTGTGGGCCAGACGTCACCCCCACCCGACCAGCCCCACTGCGAGGCAGTCTGGGTGCGGGGCAGGGAGCACCAGCAGTGCCCCCACCTGCATCCACCCGCGCGGAAGAGATGAACTTGTCCAGCTGGCAGCGCAGGAAGTCCCGCTCCTCCTCCAGGTCCTCGATGCGCTTCTGCAGCCACGAATTCCGCTCAACGGCCAGGTGCAGCTGCGCCCTCATGGCGGTCATCAGGACCGGGGAGGGCGACGAGGCCTCGGGGGGCCCTGCAGATGGCAGGGGCTCAGAGTCAGCGTGGGCGGCGCCCCCGAGGCCGCCCCCAGCCCCCCGCCCCCCCTCCTCTCACCCTCCGCGGTGCCACCGGCCGGGCTCAACGTGTACAGCAGCTGCGGGTCCAGGTGCGGCGCCTCATCGAAGGGGATGGAGATCTCCAGACCGTCCTCTTCGTTCTTCACTGTGGAGAGAGGGTCACCGGGGTCTAGGGTCACAGGGGCTGAGGATCACAGGATCATCGGTCACCGGGGTCGAGGGTCATGGGGGCTAAGGGTCACTGGGCCCGACGGTCATCGGTCGAGGGTCATGGGGGCCAAGGGTCACGGGGCCCGAGGGTCACCGGGGTCGAGGGTCATGGGGGCCAAGGGTCACGGGGCCCGAGGGTCACAGGGCCCGAGGGTCACAGGGCCCTGGGCAGGCCGCGGTCTCACTTGTCCGCCGCGGGCTGTGTCGGTCGTTCATGGCGATGTTGGTAGACCAGCAGCGGAGCGCCCGCGGCACTGGACGGAAATAGCGGCCACAAAGGAGGTCAGTCAGGGGAGGAGGGGGCCCGGGCCCGGGGGAGGAGGGGGCCCGGGCCCGGGGGAGGAGAGGTCCGGGGGGGGGGGGGCAGGACCCGGGGGAGGAGGGAGGAGGGGGCCGGGTCCGAGGGAGGAGGGGTCGGGTCTGGAGAAGGAGGCCCCACTGCGCCGAGGTCCGCTCAGGCCCCCAGGGTGCAGGCCCCGACGCCCAGGTCAGCAGCGTCTGGGGGAGAAGCTGGCCGGGGACCTGCGCTTCTGGTGACAAGGACAGAGACGGACGGGGGGAAGGGAGCCCCACATTTCGGGGCCCTTCCCGGGGTCACTCGGGCGGGCCCCAGCCTGGACCGGAAGGACCCGCATCACTGCTCCCCCCCTCCAGCCAAAAGCAGCCCTCATGCCCGGGCCGAGTTCCCCCACCGGGGGATGGGCCCGCGCCCCTCCACCGCCCTCGCGTGGGCGAGCTGCGCCCCTTCGCAGAAGGGGGGGGGAGACTGGGCGCGTGCGCATGCGCGCCCCCGCCCTTTGTCCCGCGAGTGGGAGAGGGTGGTCGTGGAAAAGTCCCAACAGGGACGTACGCCCAGGCCAGGGGTGGGCATGGGACCCCCGCCCCCCCCCCGCCCGCACCCCTGGGCTCCGAGGACCCGGGGTCCCCCGCGCTCACCCACCCGCACGCGGAGTCCAGCCCAGGGACCGGCAGCGCCGGGGAGCGTCTGCAAAGTATCACGGGGAACGGGAACGAAGAGCCCGCCCACCCGTGAGTGAGCGGGGCGTGGGGGCGAGGCGTCCGGGATGTGGCCGGTGGGGCTGATTGGGACGCGGGGTCTCGCACGGTCCGGCCGGGCCCGGCGCGCCGCAGCCCGGACTCCCGCGCCCAAGGTAAGGCCCGCCGTGGCGGGGGAGGCCGGAGCCGCACTTGCGCGATGGCCCCTGGCCGTTCGGCCCCGCCCTCCCCGCAGCCCTGGCGGGGAGCGTCTCCAAATTCCCATCCTGCGGAGCTGAGGAGGGGTCGGGGCGGGACGCGGAGTGCGGGGACTAGAGGCCTTGTCGGCCCCTTGGGAACCGGCGGCTAGGCCCGACGCCGCAGCCAAAGTTACCGGAGACGTGGGGCCAGGGCTAAGCGGGGGTGATTTACTGCCACCCCCGAAACAGTCGCGCCCCCCATCGCATGCTGGTGATTAGGAGCTGATTCTAGAACAGCCGGCTATTTCCCACCCTACCCCATGACAGGCCCTCTGGGTTCCCGCCAGGGCCAGCGCTGCCTCTGAGGTCAGAGGGGATCACTAGACAGTACAGAGACTCCCACGGGGGGGGGGGCGGGGGGGAGTTCCTCAAACCCACAAGAGTTCAAAGTTGAGAGGAGACCTGCATATGCAGTGTCTGGCACAAACAAGCCATGAAAACACACCAGCAGGGCAGGCATGCATTAGGTGGGACACACCAGCAGGGCAGTTGTGCGTTAGGGACACACTGGGGGGCCTGAGGCCCAGCCCCATCCTCGGGCAGCGGCTCAGTCCCTGGATTTCCCTGAGCCCCAGGGAGAGACGCTGTGTGGTCAGGAAGACCAGCAGCCCTCCCTTCCAGTCACCTCAATGGGTGGCCTGCAGCTGCCCCCAACCTGGGCACACCCCAGTGCTCTCCACCTAAGGCTGGGCTGGAGAATGTATTAATCTCACTGGAGAAGAGTGGACTCTGTATTTCAAAACACTTGGAAAGAAAAACCAGTGTCCCGCACACAATGAAGATGAGGCGTCGAACTGGCTTTACACACGTTTTGTGAACTTGTGTACTGTGTTATAATAAAAACCTAGGCTGGGGAACACTGTCTGGGTGACCAGGATGGAGGCTGGGGAACACTGCCTGGGTGACCCGGATCGAATCTAGTAAACACTGCTTGGTGACCCGAATCGAGGCTGAGAAACCCTGCTTGGTGACCCAGATCTTGGGAGGGAGACAGGCCCCAGGAGGCACTCCCTCCTCCCCAGCCCAGCCGCCTAGGCCTCAGGGCTGAGGCCCTTGCTCCCCCTGGCGGGGCGAGCTGAGGCCGGGGCGAGTCTCTCTGACTAGTAGACTGGCCGCGCAGGTCCAGGACGCCGACGTCGGCCTGGACAGGTACCCCGCCCCTCCTCCCCCCCTCCCCCCCGCGCCCGTCGGCTTCTGGGAGGCCGCAGTTTTCTACACCGCCCGGGCTTCGTGGCTGGACGGGGCTCACGCTTGGGCACAGTCCCGCGAGTGTCGGTGTCCAGGACCGGGAGAGCTGGGGCGGGGCGTGCAGGCCCCTCGGTCCCGCGGCCTCCGGGATGCGGGGACAGCTCACGGGTGCTTCCACCGCCGGTGCTTCTGCAGTGTGCTCTGCTCCGTGAAGCGGCGCGGGCAGCGCGGGCACTGGAGCGGGCACTCTTCGGAGTGTGCGCGGTCGCGCCGCGCTGGCTCCCCCGCGTCCCGGAAGCGGCGAGGACAGCCGAGGGGCCGGCCAACGCCGGCGCGGTGCGTGCCACGGTGCCGCGCCAGGTGGCTGGCCCGCTTGAAGGCCTTGCCGCAGGCGTCACAGCAGAATGGCTTGGCCTCTGAGTGCGCGACGCTGTGGCGCCGCAGGTAAGACTGGTACTCGAAGGCGCGGGAGCACACCGGGCAACGGTAGCTCTTCTTCTGGCCGGCGGAACCCGGGGCCGCAGCCGCGCGCCGGGCCTGGTCGTCCACCAGCGCTGTGTAGGGTACGCCCTGGGTGTCGATGAGGAGGTAGCGGCGGGGCCGGGACGGGGACACCGGCCGGGGCGAGGC